CCAGGGGCAAGCTTGTGTTGGTGCTTTCATTATAACTGTTACCAAAGAGGCTCTAGAACCAGACATCTGCCTGCATTCAAATTCCAGTTCTGCTCACCAGCTGTGTGACCTGGTGCCTCCATTTCCTCAGTTTTTATTTTTTAAAATTAAATATGTCTTTATTGATTTCAGAGAGAGGAAGGGAGAGGGAGAGAGACAGAAACATCAGTGATGAGTCATTGATCGGCTGCCTCCTGCACGCCCCCTACTGGGGATCGAGCCCGCAACCTGGGCATGCGCCCTGACTGGAACTGAACCCTGACCTCCTGGTTCATAGGCTGACACTCAACCACTGAGCCACACCAGCCGTGACATTTCCTCATTTTTAAAACGGGATATCATTTAGCTCTGATTTGAACACATCAGCTATAAAAGTCATTTTGGGAAAATTGAAACTTTGTAAAAATTTTTATGAGATATAACTGATGGGACATTTTTAGTATGGAGTATTAGGTGCTTTTAGAGAATTTTAATTGTCAGATATGGCAATGGTATTGTGGTTATGTGAGACAATGTCCTTAAGTTTTGGAGACTTATGCTAAAGTAGTTATTTTAAAATATCTCAGAAAAAAAGAGGAAGGAAATTAAATAAGTATAGCAAAATGTCAGCAGTTGACGAATCCAGGTGTTAGGATTTTTGTTTTGTCCCTCTTTCTATTTTTCATTTGACCATTTTATGATAAATATTTTTATTTTTTTTACGTAGTGCTTACCTCATAGGTTTGTTTTGGAACTTTTGTAAATTAGTGAATATAAAGAACTTAGTCTTTGCTGTACCATAAGCATCCAATAAATTTTAACTGTTATAATTATAATTTCATATAATTCTTTCAACACTATCCAGAAGCTCATATTATCCCATTTTACAGATGAAGAAGTTGGGATCCAGGGATAGCAAGTAACTTGCTTAAAGTCACATGGCCTAGTCTGGAACCCAGGTTTTCTAGCCTAATGTTCTCTGTCTCACACCACTCTGCCATTTAGAAATAAAAATCATGTTTTGGTTTTTCTGGGTATCATCTCTCCTTTAGCTTCCTTTCAGAATCATTTCCACTGAGCTGTGGAAATGGAGAGGGAGATTGAGCCAGTGGTTCTGCAGCTGGGAGCAAAACCCAGTGCACTTATCACACCCCCTGCCAGGGAACAGACAGCTGAGTTTCCCATGGGACAGTCAGAGGAGGGGCAGGATTTTCTTTTTTTAATGGAAAATTGTGTCCACAGATACCAACCGTGGGACTTTAAACCTCCGAAACCTTTCCAGTTCTATGTCTGGACTCTATACCTGCCGGGCCTACAATGAGGTGGGCAGTGCCAGCTGCAATATGACCCTGACAGTGAACACAGGTCAGTGAGGGGTAAGTGGGGTTAAGGAGATTGGTCAGTGGTTGGGGTGGGGGTGCACGAGAGGGCCTGTCTACTGAGGCCTCTCATTGTAACCGGGCAAGGAACTTGTCCTGGTCAGATGTTTGTACAAATATTTGGTCAGTGACCATTTTCTGCTCGACAGCCATCCGTTCTTATCAGGGAAAAAGAGAAACTGTGTGTGGTGGCAGTGGGGTAGTTGGATTGGAGAGGGGTGGGGAACAACTAAATGTCGCCCTCTGACACCAAGGTTTTTACAGGGCCTGGGCCTGCAGTGATTGCTGGAGCTGTTGTGGGCACCCTGCTTGGATTGGGGCTGCTCACTGGAGTGGTACTCTTGTACCAACGCCAGGGCAAAGCCCTAGAGGAGCCTGCTAATGATATCAAGTAAGTGCCCCTGGTCTCTGCCTAGCCAGGGCTCCCCTGGCTCCCCTAGAGAGCCTGGGAATTCAGACAGCGCTCATCTGATGGAAGGGTGGGAAGTGGCTGAAGCATTATTCCTATGGGTAGATTAAGGGAGAGGAGGGTTGAAGTGGGTTGGAAATGGAGAGTAAGGCAAGGCAGGAAGAAACTCTCCCACTTCCAGTTTTTGACCTCATTACTTCTTGGATGACTAGGGAAGATGCCATTGCTCCTCGGACCCTGCCCTGGCCTAAGGGCTCAGACACAATCTCCAAGAATGGGACCATTTCCTCTATTACCTCATCACCAGCTCTCAAACCACCCCATGGCCCTCCCAGGCCTGGTGCATCAACCCCCACGCCCGGCCTTCATAGATCAACCCCCACACCCAGCGCTGGTGGGGTCTCCTCCTCTGCTCTGAGTCGCAAGGGTGCTGTCCCTGTGATGGTGCCCGCCCAGAATCAGGCTGGGTCTCTGGTGTGATGGCCCGGCCATCTGGTTTCTCTCCTTCCTATAATAATTACTAGGGGGGTAACTGTAGCATAGAGGCCTGCATCTGGGAGGGTGGCCACCTTCTAGATCTCCAGTCCTCGGCCCCCACCCTTCTTTACTGTGGGAAAACTGGGTCTTGGTTAAGACTCAAACTTCCAGGAGGTAGAAGAGGAAGTGGACCTCAGGTTAGGAAGAACCTAAGCGCCCTGCCGAGGCCACCCGACCACTGCAGAGGAATGCTGCTGAGATTGGTTACCTTCTCCCCACCCCCAGGGCCTGGTGGAGAAACTGCCAGTCAGGGACCCCTCCCTGGCCCCCTGGATCTCTAACCCACCCGTATCTAACACCATCCTTCACTCCCACTCCAGCTGCCTGCGTTAATATAACCTGTCCTGCTGGCTTGGTTGGGTTTTGTCAGGGCAGGGGATAGGGAAGGTATTTGTTAAACTAACTTGAAATGTGTGTTTTCATATGTGTTTTTGTTTTTATTTTACAAATTTCAATAAAGTTACATTGTTTTTGTATGGAAAGTGAGAGTCGAATTACCTTTTCAAACTTGGAATTCCCAAGAGAAGCTGAGGACCCCTGCCCAGACAGAGATGAGGAGCCTGACTGGGGCTCCCCTCTTCCAGACCCCCAAACCCTTAACAAACACACCCCCCTGAGTCTCAGCCTCTCTGCCCATAACAAGGAGGGACTATGGGAGTGGGGAGGGGGCTGGAGTTTCCATGGAGACTCCTACCTCAGCCAGTGGGGATACAAGTGCCAGAGGAGGGATCTCAGGGAAGAAGAGGAGGGGCTTTGAAGGAACCAGAATCTCTGGAGGCATCAGAAGGGGCCTTGGGGTGAGGCCCCACAGGGATGTCATTTGCTGGCTCACAGGTGGTCAGACCACCTCCCCCGGCCTCCAGGGCAGCTTTTCCCTACAGAGCTGCAGTTCTGACCCCTCCCTTCGGGGGCCCACCCGCAGCCCAGCCCTTTCCCCAGGGCCCCACAGCTTCAGAAATTGGGGGAAAGACGGCAGAAGAAGGGAGTAGAGCTAAAACGGTTCCAGACCTGGACCTGGAGGAGGGAGAGGCGTTTCCTTACTGCAGGGCACCGGCCTCTCCCTTTGTTTGCTCTGAGATAGCCGGTCTCGCCCCTGCCGGGCCGGGGAGGCTGCCCCGCGGGCGCCGCCTTCCCTTCCAGGCCCGGGCACCAGACCAGCGACGGCGGGACGCGGCCATGGCCCGGCTCCCGGGGCCTTTGCTGTGCGGGGCGCTGCTGGGCTTGGTCTACATGACGGGTGAGGAGGGGGCCGGGAGGGGGCGTCCCCGGGAGGGCTGAACTCCCGCAGAACCATTGCTTCCTCTCCGCGACAAACACACCCGCGTACCCGGCCGGGCTCGTCCTTAAACCCACAGCTCTCGGCCGCGACGTGCGCTCCTCCCTCCTGAAACTTCAGGTTTCGAGGAGG